TTTCTGCAGCCTATCAAAATGGTAAGCTTCGTCATGTACCTCATTATGTCTCCGTAATACGTGTTCATATTTTTTTACATATTTATCTAACCTTCCTACTTGTCAGTTTAAACGTGGAGGTCACGTGCATAGAAGACCAGCCTCTTCAACGTCCTCATCCCCCGCCCTTTCCTCGTCTCCTGTTCTTTCATCTAACCCGCAACCACGATATGTTGATGGACAATATGGACACGTTGGTCCTTCCTCCAACGCTCAAGAACATGTTATGGGACTTGGCCACATGCCAACTCAATCTCCTCCAGTTCAATCACCTTTGGCTCCCTTTCCTTCTGTTCCACCTTATTATTCAGCGCAATATTCGCATAATGATGGAAACGAAGGTCAAGAAGATAACCGAATCCTGATATGCCCATTTGGAGATTCGTAAGTACTTCAAAATTTTTTTAGTATATGTAATATTTATGGCTTTCGATATGGATGTCAACTGAATTGTCGATGTTGCACAATATCCGTATGTTTGCAGATTCACGGATGCTACGTTTGTTGTAAGGGAACTGAATAAAATAATAAAAAACTATTGGATGGGGGAGTATGTTAATTACAGAAGTGTTCCACAAGAGGTGAAAGATTTGTGGTGGAATGAGTTCAAGGTAAGTTTTAAATATTCTATTTTCTTACCAACTAAGTTCGGTGTAGTATATTGATGGTCAAGAATGATGTAAAGGGACCAGAACAGCTCTTTAGTTTTCGGTACTAAAGGGGAAAGAATATTTTCCCCGAGATGAACTTAACAAAGTCTATCGCCGAATTGTCTGGTGCATGGTAATGGATATGTGACCATCATAATAACTTTCAGTTTTGCTTGTATTGATTGCAGCGGAAGTTCAGGTGGGATGACCAGCTCGAGAATGAAGTGAGAAGAATTTTTCAGAAGAAAGTCAGTGATCACATACGAAATGTGATGAATAGAGCGAAGAGTAGGAGAGTGAAGCCGGCTTTTATTACAGCTGACAATTGGGCGGAAATTAACAGAATTTGGGAAACTGAGAAGAGTCAGCAAATCAGTGAGCAGAATAAAAAGAATCGATCTTCTAGTTCTAGTGAAGGGTCTGCCACATATGCTGGGGGCTGTATCAACATTGGGGAGCATCGCAAACGACTGGTAAGTCTGTTAAACAAGTTATAAGTTAATTTAATTCAATTACTCATGTTTACATTTTGTAGGCACAAGAATTGGGGACGGAACCGACATTTGCAGCTACATTTGAATGCACATTTCAAAAGAAAGATAAGACATGGATTGGCGATCGAGCAAAAGCTATTAAGGTATGTAAGGTTATACTTTGGGCTTTATGGAAACTAGAATGAAAACCGTGAATGCTTTTAATATTTATGGTAGAGATATATATGAAGTTATTTTATTTTCATCTATATTGTTAATGTAGAAAAAATATAATGAACTTTTAATGGGCAATGCTAGTGGTAGTGATGGTTCTGCAAGTGCGTCTGAGCCATCAGCTGACAGTATGGCATTATGGGTGGAGGCAACGGGTGGGGTGAAAAAAGGAAAAATATTTGGGATGGGATCCTTGTCAAGGATGTTCATGCCGAATCAAGCTGGAACTTCATCATCCAATGCGACTGGTCGAAGGAGGACACGACATGACGAGCAATTGACCCAAGAAGTGAACCACCTGAAAAATATAATTGTAGAGAGGGACGAAGAAATAAATGACTTGAAACAGCAAATGCAAATCGTTATGCAACACCTCAACATCAATCGCGGTCAGGTTCCTCCTGTACCTCCTGCCAATCCAATAGGTGATGAGCACAATGATGAGCGACACAATGATGCTGACATTGATGATGATGCTGATGATTTTCTCGGTCCTTTTTAGTTGAAATTGCCAAAATCGGGGGTAAGCTTGCTTCACACTCTTTTATGACATAAGTGCAGTTTCACCCAATTTGTTCCTGCCCTATAATTACTTTTTGTGCACAACTTTCTCACAACTAGGTTCAAGGATCTAATTTTTCCTATGTGACAGAAATACGGTTTACAATGGTGAAAAAACTACGGTGGATGTCAAAGTTGACTCATACTCATATGTAAGAACATTGATGTTTGTCCTGAAACGTTTTTTTGTTAACCCTCTTACTTGTTTTTTTATACCTAGTTCCACATCCATGCATAAGCACTTCTTTTATATTCTGTACTGACTAAATATCTTTATTTATGTATCCACATTTCATCAGGTGTCCATAAAAGTGACTGCTTTTGGTGTCCTGCCGAGTATCACAGCTGTCCAATCTTGTGTCTGGTTTGTCGATTTTTCGTTTTCTAAGCATCTCTATGGTTGTCCCGCCTCCTATGAATGTTTTGAATGTATTATAAGATTGGATATCAAATATCATCGTGTCAGGCTTTGCAACTTGACATATATCATTATTTTTTGCGGACTAGCATCTTTCCTTCAGTTACATTTTTTAATTATATGGCTTTGTGTCTGGTTTGTTCGTTTTCTGTTTCTGAAGCGGAATCTACGGTTTTCTCGTGTCCTTTGACTGTTTTCAATGTATTATATGATGTTCATTAATGCGTAGCAATTGATATGGACAAGATTTGATGGTCGAAATGCTGTAAAATTTGCGACGAATATTTACATACGAATTTTGTGACCATTACAGTTCGTGGCTAATTTGCGACGAATAAGTAGCGACGAATCAAGTTCGTGCCTAATTTCCGTCCAATACATTTTGCGACGAATTTTGCCACGAATTTTGTAACGAATTATTTGCGACGTATTTTGCGACGAATTATTTGCGACGAATTTTGCGACGAATATTTTTTTCCGTCGCAAAAATTTGCGACGACCTAGTAGCGACGGAATTTTTTCCGTCGCTAAATTTGTCGTAAAATCGATTTGCGACGGATTTTTGCGATTTTTTCGTCGCAAAATCCGTCGCAAAGAACATGTTTTTTTGTAGTGTTATAAAAGTGATAATGACACAAATGGTCCACAAATGGTCCATAAACTTTGGCCCAATATGCGATGTGATCCCTGAACTTTAAATTTATTTAATGTGGTCCCTGAACCTTACTCCAATGTGCAATGTGGTCCTTAAACTTTTAATTTATTCAATATTGTCCCTGAACTTTTGTTATATATTCAGTTTAGTCCCTAAACTATACGAAAATGTTCAATGGTGTCCTTCCATTAATTTAAGTTCAAGGATAACATTGAATATTTTCGTATAGTTAGGGACTAAATTAAACATGTACCAAAAGTCCATAGACTACATTAAACAATTTTAATGTCGAGGGATCAAATTGTATATTGGGCTAAAGTTCATGAACTATATAGAACAAATTAAAAATTCAGGGGTCATATTGCATATTGAGCCAAAGTTCAGGGATTATTTGTGTTATTTTCCCTTTATACATAATAACAGGAGTGTTTATGTCATCACGCATTCTTTTCCTTTCTTTTCCTTTTATCATATTGTACTTTCTGCCGCGAAGTTGGGCTATTTCCTCGAACAAAAGGAGTCATCATTCATGGTCGGCATTAAAATCTCTCCTCTACAGATGCAGAATCATGTTCACATAATAAGGACAAAGGTTTATGTTGCCTGCTTATTCTCAAAGAATGAAGATTACCTGCTTGATCATAGATTAATACCTAGCTAATTCCATCTATCTAGCTACCCACCCGCCTCAACTCCCTAAGACTTGACCTTTGTTTCCATAATAAGTATGCTGCCTGTTGAATGGAAACCCTCGGTTAAAAGATGCTTGGACTTTCTACGTAAAGGTGAAATTCATATGATTCCGTCCAATCAAATGGGCAACATGAAATCTGACTTTCTCTCGATGTTAGGTAGGTTGCAGACGTGTGCTCGGACCTACTACGATACCTGTTGAATTGCACGTGTCGTCACACGCCATTCTGTCCTATCATGATAGGATGATCACCGAGACGGGAGGGGTAACGAGAGTGAAGAGATCCCGACTTACCTTCCCGCTCGCTAAAAACGAACTTTGAACTCGTATCCCCCGCGTGCGATCGAGTGTTTGGATCATTACTAATCTTGGGTTAGGTCTAACATGTGCCTGGTGGGTCATGGCTGTAGGCGTGTTTGGACATGGCTGTAGGTGTGTTTGGACATATTACGACACCAATCGAATTGCACGTGTTGCGCACCATCCCGTCCTATAAAGACAGGGTGATCACCGAGATGGGAGGAGTAACGGGAGGAGTAATGGGATGAGTGAAGAGAGCTCGACTTACCTTTCCTGCTCGCTAAAATCAATTTCAAACTCGTGTCGCCCGCAGGCAATTTTGTGTTTGAAACATTACTAATCTTGGGTTAGGTCTAACATGTGCCCAGGTGGGTCATGGTTGTAGGCGTGTTCGTACCTATTACGGCACCTATAGAATCGCACACGTCATGCGCCATTCCGTCCTATCACGACAGGGCAATCGTCGAGACAGGAGGGGTTAACGAGCGAAGAGATCTCGACTTACCTTTCCCACTCGCTAAAACCGAATTTCGAACTGGTATCCCCGCGTGCAACCTGGTGTTGGAATAGTTACTAATCTTGGATTAGGTCTAACATGTGCCCTGGTGGGTCATTGGTTCTTGTAAATTTTATTCATAAGCAAGAAGAGATCAGACCCCAGACCCGGGCAACTGCTTGAAAAATGAACCTTTGAATCAGCTTAAAACCGCAGTTGTTGTTGAACTTGACGGCTGAAGCTGAAGCTAAAGGCAAATGAAAAAGTGCATCTGAACGCGTCAAGCTATTGAGCTGAGTTAACCCGTGTTCTTCAGTCAACATATTCAACAGCCATGACCAGTTCTCTTCCCATTCGTGTCGCTTGCTTCAGCATATATAAGTACAACCAATATGAACCTCCAAACTCCATAGCCAGAACCACTCCAATTCTCAGTCAATCGTCTCAAAAACGCTCGCACAAGGCTGATCACCTCCGCCGATGGCCGCTTTACAAGCTTCCTCTCTCTTGATCCCCTCTTCATCCTCCTCGGCTCGTTCTTCGAAGAGAACGGTCTCGGCTTCGATCCATGTCCCGAGGATCCCTAAACTCCGCCTCTCTCATCCGAGCTCGGCGATGACGCAAAAACTGGTCGACGAATTCAGCAACAGGAGCGGTTACACCATCACGGAACCCTTGCAAATGGACGTCGTGGAGAAAGTTAGGCTTTCCGAGCCACGCCGTTCGCCTAGCCAATCGCCTACTGGTTCTGTTGAGACGAGTACGAAGCTCTACGCGATCCTGGAGGCTGTCGAGGATAGGGTGGAGATGCACGATAACATCGGCAAGCAGCGGGACAACTGGAACAAGCTCCTGCTGAACTCGGTCAACATGATGACCCTCACCGCCACCACCGCGGCGGCCATCTCAGCTGCCATGCCAGCACCATCGCTAAGAGCGTGCTCCACTCTCTTATTTACTGCCGCCACCGGAATGTCGCTCGTGATGAGCAAAATCCAGCCCTCGCAGCTGGCCGAAGAGCAGCGCAACGCCTCGAGGTTGTTCAAGCAACTTCAGAGCGAGATCAAATCTATGCTAGCACTCCAGTCTCCGACGGAGTCAGACGTGAAGGAGATGATGGAGAAGGTGCTGGCGCTCGATAGAGCTTATCCACTGGCTCTGCTTGGAAAGATGATCGAGAAGTTCCCCGTGAAATTTGAGCCCGCCGTGTGGTGGCCTAGAGTTTCCAACAACCGCCGCCAATCGCGAGGGCGAAAAACCTTCATGAACACGGAGCAAAACGGATGGAGCGAGGAGCTGGAAGTGGAGATGAGAGCAATCATCCAAGTCCTCAAGAGCAAAGACAAGAAAGACTACTTGAGGCTCGGAAACTTGGTGCTAAAACTGAATAAGATGTTGGCGGTTTTGGGTCCTTTACTCGCCGGCATCGCCGCAGCCAGCTCGGTCTTCGGCGGGTCGACGGCCATGATGGTGGCCGCCAGCGCTGGTGCAATGGCGGCAATCGTCAACGGCTTCGAGCACGGGGGACAAGTCGGCATGGTCGTGGAGATGTACAGAAACTGCACCGGGTTCTTCGCGCTCATGGAAGAGACGATCGAAGCGACGCTCGAAGAGCGAGACTACGACAGGCGAGAGAACGGAGAGATGTTCGAGATGAAGGTGGCGATGAAGCTGGGGCGGAGCTTGTCGCAGCTCCGAGACCTGGCAAGAAAATCAATGACTTCTTGCTTAGAGGGCATCGAGGTGGAGGAATTCGGAAGCAAGCTTTTCTGAAACTCTTTTTGAACAAGATAGTAGCTGGTACATAATGTACATGTACAAGTTACGCTCATTAACATGATTCTTTCATTCCTTGATTCTTGGCACATATTTGGTGCACATTGATGTAACAAAGAAAAAGGAGCATAAAAATGCTCATCTTGGTTTAACTTTGTTTTAACTAAATTAAAGCTTGTTCATTCGATTTCCATGGGAATCACCTTTGGAGACATATTAACTTCGCTACTTGAACATATACGATAATTCAACCCCGCGAAAATTCTACTATATTGTTATGAAAAAAAAAAAGACAGCTTTCTCGGTATCGATAAATGTTTGAAAGAGTTGGTAAGTATTAGAAGATGACCGTTATTAAGACACTCCTTTTCGTGTACCCTCGATGAATTACCGGTATACTACCATCGACTACGGAAATTAGGAAAAAAGATGAACTTCTAGAAGGCCTTAAAGAAGACCAACATCATCGAAAATTTGGAGGGGGAGAGGATCCCTAGGTCTTAACAGACCGTAATTTCTTGTGATTTTCGTAACTTCTATACAAACTCTCTTGAAAAAGGGATTCTTTGTTCTTAACGGGCCGTAATTTCTTGTAACTTTTCATACCTTTTATGCAAAAGGTCATGGCACACAAAAATTTAAAGACTTTACGATCAAACGGGCAAATTTCGCTCTCTCGTTATCCCACGGTCATTGAGAGATCCAGGATCCGTTCCCCAAAAATCCTTGAAAAAACAGCCGCGTGGTGGGAAGGTATACGTCCATATGGTCAAAGAGTCATGCCAAAAATGTGAACTTCAAGAAGGCAACAAGCAGTGAACCGTTGAATCCTTTTTGGAGATGGAGAGATCCAAGAAAGATTCACCAAGCGGGAACGCGAAAACGACGACGCTCCCAGTCAGAAATGACAAGCTACGCGTATGTTTTTTCCTTTCCTTTTCTTTTTCCTGGCTGTTCAAATATTTAAGATTGTGTGGCACGAAAATATAGGCCTTAAATTGCAATTTCATTTGGTCCTAAGCCACTTGGCCCTCGGTTTTGTTTATTTTTAGGTGACTTTGTTATGTAATCTTTCGCAGTGCGGCCCCTTACCCACAAAGATTACGTACTTATTTTCTGACAAATTGGGTACAAATTCGTACTTTGTACTGTTGATTGTTTAGACTTCTATGACTAGGTTAATCTAGGGGAGATGCTTTTCATTAGGTTACAGCTGTTCGAGCGTAATTACCACGATGTCGATTTTGTATAGTAAAGAAGGTCTCGTGATTAAAACATAAGAGCTAATCTACATAATATATGTAATAGTTCATGGGGAAAAAAAGTCACTAAGAACATATATTCTCTAGTGGTTTGCTTGAGCTCGAGCTCAAACGAAGTAGTGAATCGAGCATTTAAAAAGCACGCGCCTCAACGATAACGTTTGATAGAAAAGACTGAAGTTGTTAAAGCATTTTACGTCACTTGTTTACGAGATTTATATTTCATTACATACATCTGGTTGGCTGAACCTTTGGATAGACATGGCCACGGTTTAGGAACCGCCGGTTCCGGTTCGTGGCCATGTATGAACCGGAACCGGCGGTTTCGAGCCGGTTCCGGTTCCGGCCGGTTCCAGTTCCGGTTCGTAATTTAAAAATTAATAAAATAAATTATAAAATAAAAATTGCAGGCCTGGGTCCTCCGTCGGTCGTCGCTCGGGCTTCGCGGCCTTGGCCACGGTGGCGGAGGCGAGGTTCAAGGCAGCGAGGAGATAAAGCTGGAGACGGGGGCGGAGGCGGCGGCGAGGGGGAGAAGGAGGGGGCCGAGAGGGGGACGGAGACAGGGACGGGGAGGAGGAGCAGGGGGTCCTCCTCCTCCGGGGGCTGGGCAGGGTCGGGAGGAGGGGAGGGGGAGGGGGCGTCGGCAGTTACGGCCATGGGCGGCGGCGGCGGGGGTCAGATCTGGGGAGACAGGGGGCGGGCGGAGGAGAAAAGGGGAGGAGGCGCAAGGTAGCGAAGGGGGAGGAGGAGGGGGCGTCGGCGTCGGCGGTTGCGGCCATGGGCGGGGGTGATGGCAGCGGCAGCGGCGGGGGTCAGCTCTGGGAACACGGGGGACGAGCGGAGGAGAAAAGGGGAGGATCGGAGGAGGCGCAGGGGAGAGAGGGGAAGGAGGGATTTGGAGGAGGAAGACTGGAGGAGGTAGGCATGGGTGGAGGTGGGAACGTGGGGCTGCAGCAGCAGCAGTTTTTTTTTTTTGTGGAATCGGAACTGGACTCGTAGGCCACGGGCTGGTTCCAGTTCCGAACCGCGAACCCGGTCAACGGGCCGATTCCGAATTTGACCCGGGCTGGTTCCGTGCCAAAACTGGTCCGTGGCCATGTCTACCTCTGGATTCGACATTCTAGCGCGTGAAAATGTGGCGTTAAAGTATCGCACGTCGTTTATGTCCAGGGTACACACGTGGTCTGACCTTCACTTGCTATCTTAAAACACTCTAATCAAGGACTACACAAAGGACCACGAGATGCTCAAGTTGCTGCCCGATGGGGGGACACGACAAGGCAAAAGTCAATGCCCAAAAGCAAAGGGCAAAGCGAGTCTGCATGTGACAGTGAGGTGAGGTCGACACGCCGCTTTCGGATGGAGACCGCCTTTGCATTAGAAGACATTCAAGAATTCAACCATTGGATTGCGTGCCCATCTTGAAAAAAAGTATATTGTATTAAGCTAAGGTCAAAGCATATATCCATTTCAATAATTAAAAGGGAAATAGTGATTTTGATACTTGGATCATATTTCTTTCTCTGCCACAAAATGTACATGAAATATGCACCAAGAATTAAAGAAGGAAAGTATCACGTTTGATGAGCCTCATTGTACGTGTATTATATGTACACTGCATATCTTTGTTCAAAGGAGTTCAGAAAAGCTTGCTTCCAAACTCATCCACCTCAGTCCCTTCTATGCAAGAAGCTATTGATTTTCTTGCTAAGTCTCGGAGCTGCGACAAGCTCCGGCCCAGCTTCATCGCCACCTTCATCTCGAACATCTCTCCGTTCTCTCTCTTGCTGTAGTCTCGCTCTTCGAGCATTGCTTCGATCGTCTCTTCCATTAGCCCGAAGAACCCCGTGCAGTTTCTGTACATCTCCACGACCATGCCGACTTGACCTCCATGCTCAAAGCCGTTGATGATCGCTGCCATCGCACCCGTGATGGCCGCCACCGTCGTGGCCGTCGAGCCACCGAAGGCCGAGCCAGCCGCGGCCATGCTGGTTAGCAAAGGAGCTGAAACCGCCAATATCTTGTTCAATTTTAGCGCCAGATTCCCAAGCATCAAGTAGTCTTGCTTGTCTTTGTTCTTGAGGACTTGGACGATCGCTCTCATCTCAACTTCTAGGTCCTTGCTCCATCCATTTTGCTCGGTGTTCGCAATGATTTTCCGTCCTCGGGATTGGCGGCGGTTGTTGGAAACCTTAGGCCACCATGTGGCAGACTCAAATTTTGCGGGAAACTTCTCGAGCATCGCTCCGAGCAGAGGCAGCGGATAAGCCCTATCAAGGGCCAGAACCTTTGCCATCGTCTCCTTTACGTCTGACTCAGACGGAGATTGGAGCGCAAGAATCGACTTGATCTCGCTCTGGAGCTGCTTGAACAACCTCGAAGCATTGCGTTGCTCTTCGGCCAGCTGCGAGGGCTGGATTTTGCTCATCACGAGTGACATCCCAGTGGCCGCAGTAAACAAGAGAGCCGAGCATGCTCTCAGCGACGGAGCCGGCGCAGCCGCAGCCATGGCCACCATGGTTGTGGCAGTGAGAGTCATCATGTTGACCGAGTTCAACAGGAGCTTGTTCCAGTTGTCTCGCTGCTCACCGATGTTATCGTGCATCTCCACTCTATCTTCGACGGCCTCCAAGATTGCATAGAGCTTTGCGGTCTTATCGATAGAAGAATTGGGCGATAGGCGCGGCTCCAAAACCCTATCTTTCCGGGCGACGTCCATCCGTAGCGGCTCCGCGAAGGGGTAACCATTCCTGGTTCTCAATTCCTCGACTAGCTTCCTCGTGATCACAGCGCTCGGATCAGCAAGGCTGAGCTTTGAGGGCTTCGGGACATGGATCGAAGCGGCGATCGTTCTCTTCGAAGAACAACCCAAAGAGGAAGAAGAAGAAGAAACTAAGAGAGAGGAAGCTTGCAAAGCAGCCATTAATGAAGGTGACAAGTCTTGTGTTGCTGTTAATCTTTTGTGTGTGTGGTTCAAGGGTGTGAATTTGATGGTTCTTGAGAGGATTGAAAGAGAATTGGAGTGGGTTTGGTTATGGAGGTCGGAGGTTCATTTGGGTTGTACTTATATGCTGAAGCAAGCGATGCAAACGGGAAGAGAAGAGGTCGTAGCTGTTGAAAATGTTGACTGACGAACACGGGTTGACTCGGCCCACGAGGCTGACCTTTTCTATTCTTTTGTTTGATTTTGTACACTTCAAACATGAAACGCTACGTAAATATTTTTTGCATCACCCCATACATACGTGACTTATGAAATAGAATCACGATTAATTGTAGTAATAAGTTATAACATATGTTCTCATCATAATATTAATTGGTACGTTAATGAATTATGACGCATTGCAAGTATACATCTAAACAAGCGAGTCATATATAACTTTTGGAATGACAATTTGTCACATTATTTAATATAGTAATTTCGAGAATCGGTGTCGGTGTATCTTTTCCTTTTGGGTAATACCTATGATAGATCACTTTTGCATAAATAAACGGGGTTGTAGCATTACATGGACAATATATAGGATCCGGATGACTATATTCTTTCATTAAAAAAGCGTTATCATATGCTCAGATTTCACGATATAATTATTAATATAGTTTTGATTTGAGTAAATCTTGAAATTAATTTAGTCAAATAGAATGAACTTATGAAATCATTTACTATTACCACATGCCGCCCTCGGCTCGCGAACCTTTGCCTCTTTTGTCAACTTTGCTAGCCCAAATAGTTAGACCTCTCAATCCTTTCCCACTTATAATTCACATACATTATTTTTTAGTGATTTTTTCAGAAATATAAATCAAATATTCGTATTTAATGGGGAACCCAATTCGAATTACGTATGATATTGCTCTATAACAAATTAACCATTCATATTTATTGCGGACCCAATTCGAATAACGTATTGCTCTTGCTAGACTATAGACATATCACTTTGACCATTTCTTGAAATGAAGTTTTCTCCGATTCACTGAGTATCGGGTTTTGGTCGGGTCGGGTCGGTTTCCAATTTTGCATTGGTCAGTTTTGCCTTGAGTTCATTATTTTTCCGATCTAGTCAACTTAAATTTAGGGCATTTGACTTATTGATTTTTCCTTCAAATTGGCTATGATGTGTGAGTTAGTCAATTTCATGCAGGGTGAACTTTGGTCCGCTTTGCTTGAAAATGTCAAGACAAAAGGGTGGTTAAAAAGCATAGTCAGATTTTAATTATATTTCTTGTTAATCTTATTCATTAAAAAACGCAACGCATACTCTTATGAAGACAATCTATCTTAAACAAGTAAACCTTCAAGCCATAAAAACAAGTGATGTCATAAATGTAATGGTTACTTAAAGACCCACCGTGATATTATGGCATCCGTCCGTAGATATGGCTAAAATATGAAAAATTAGAAATGAAATTGAGACTAAACAATTCGAGCGTTTTAAGGAACACACGTATAGAAGACAGAACCATCTTTAGCTACAAAATTTGAAACATATTAGAATATCCATCCCAAAAGTTTAATCCGATAGGGTTAAAAACATGAAATGTAAAAGAGAAAAATCAGAGAAGAAGACATGTATATTTTTACGTGAAAAACCTTTTTAGAATCAGAAAGAGAAAAGCCATGGTGCTGCATTAAATATCCCACATCAATTGTCCATGGATTTGTATGCTTTTCATGTACATATGATTTTGCTCCACCTATCAATTTAAACTTTTGAGTGAGCATTTAAATACTACGAAGTATGCTCAAATTGCTGCTCCAGGATGGAACAAAGAACAAGTCAACGCCCAATAACAAAGGGCAAAGGGAAACTGCATTCGTAAGAAAGGTCAACTCTTTCAGAAAATTCAAAGCCGCTCTCGCATAGAGACCCTTTTTTGCGGTAGGAGACATTTAGGAATTCAACCATTTGATTGCGTCCACATCGTGAAAAAGGTATGACGCATTGCCCTTCGTTTTTCTTTACACATCTAACGTTCATAAAAAATTAAAACCATGGCCTTATGAAATTGCTTAATCGTTTAGTAAAATTATAAAATACCTAAATTAGATAAGATATCGAATGTTTATATGGATCGAAACCAGACTCGGAGAACATATTACTTTAGAATTTAATCAAGATTTGAGAATCTATGCACATAGAATCATATGACCCAATCAATATCGTGATAGTATCTTAATACCATATTTTACAAACGACTTTTTCCCCACTGGCAACTTTATCATTAAGTTCATATGGTAAGAATTAAAACACTTTATTTTTCACATTTATATATAATAGTGATGGACTCATTTTGTCTTAGAAAATGCCTTTAGTACAAAACATTTTGCTACCATATTATATAATAAAAGCATTGTCCGTTTGACAATTATTTACATAGGAAAACTAAAAAAATGAAAATACCAACAGGCTAATTAATTAATGGAATGAAATGTGGTTGTCAAAATCAGACCCGCTTATCAATTAATGCTTTTAATTTGTTCTTTTGTGGAATTAATTGTTACAAAGAATTAAAGAATGAAAAAATCATGTTTGATGAGTCTCATTGTACATGCATCATCTAGACACTGTATATCTTTGTTCAAAGGAGTTCAGAAAAGCTTGCTTCCAAACTCATCCACCTCGGTCCCTTCTATACAAGAAGCCATTGATTTTCGTGCTAAATCTCGGAGCTGCGACAAGCTCCGCCCTAGCTTCATGGCCACCTTCATCTCGAACAGCTCTCCATTCTCTCTCTTGCTGTAGTCTTGCTCTTCGAGCATCGCTTCGATCGTCTCTTCCATAAGATCGAAGAACCCAGCGCAATTTCTGTACATCTCCACGACCATGCCGACTTGACCTCCATGCTCGAATCCGTTGATGATCGCCGCCATCACACCGGCGATGGCTGCCACCATTGTGGCTGTTGAGCCACCGAAGGCCGAGCTAGCTGCGGCAATGCCTGTTAGCAAAGGAGCTGAAACTGCCATTATCTTATTCACTTTTAGAGCCAAATTCCCGAGCCTCAAGTAGTCTTGCTTGTCTTTGCTCTTGAGGACTTGGACGATCGCTCTCATCTCCACTTCTAGGTCCTCGCTCCATCCATTTCGCTCGGTGTTCGCAACGGTTTTCCACCCTCGAGATTGGCGGCGGTTGTTGGAAACCCTAGGCCACCATGCGGCGGGCTCGAATTTCGCGGGGAACTTCTCAAGCATCGCTCCGAGCAGAGGCAGCGGATAAGCCCTATCAAGGGCCAGCACCTTCGCCATCATCTCCTTCACGTCTGACGCAGATGGAGATTGGAGTGCAAGCATCGACTTGATCTCGCTCTGGAGCTGCTTGAACAACCTTGAGGCGTTGCGTTGCTCTTCGGCTAGCTGTGAGGGCTGGATTTTGCTCATCACGAGCGACATCCCAGTGGCTGCGGTAAACAAGAGAGCCGAGCATGCTCTCAGCGATGGAGCCGGCGCAGCCGCAGCCATGGCCGCCATGGTTGTGGCAGTGAGAGTCATCATGTTGACCGAGTTCAACAGGAGCTTGTTCCAGTTGTCTCGCTGCTCGCCGATGTTATTGTGCATCTCCACTCTGTCTTCGACAGCCTCCAAGATTGCATAGAGCTTCGTGATCGTTTCGATGGAAGGAGTAGGTGATAGGCGCGGCTCCAAAGCCCTATCTTTCTGGGCGACGTCCATTTGTAATGGCTCCGCAAAGGCGTAACCATTCCTGGTTCTCAATTCCTCGACTAGCTTCTTCGTGATCATCAAGCTTGGATCAGCGAGCCGGAGTCTCGAGGGCTTCGGGGCTTGGATCAATGCGATGATCGTTCCCTTTGAAGAACAACCCAAAGAGGAAGAAGAAGAAGAAGAAACTAAGAGAGAGGAAGCTTGTAAAGCGGCCATTGATGAAGGTGACAAGCCTTGTGTTGCTGTTAATCTTTTGTTTGTGTTTCAAGGGTGTGAATGTGATGATTTTGAGAGGATTGCTTGTTTGAGGATTGAAGTGGTTTTGGTTAAGGAGGTTGGGGTTCGTATTTATATGTGAGAAGTACGCGGAGGCGATGTAAAAGGAAGAGGTCGTGATTGTTGAAAATTCGACAGTAGAACACAAGGTGTTGACTCTGCCCCTGGGGTCTGACCTTTTCTATTATTTGATTTTGTACAAGTCAAACATCCAATTGAAGAGGTCGTAAATTTTGTTAATCACTTCCTAATACATGAATGGAACATTTAAACAAGCAGAGTAATATAATAATTCTGAAAATCAGTATCAGTATATTTTTTAGTTTTGGGTAATACTTACGTCACTTATTTTTTCGCTAGAATTGTGAAAGATTGCTTTCGCATAAATAGAATTTGTCCTACTCGATGAAATGAACACGGATGACTATATTCTTTGATAAATAAAACTGTTATCATATGTTCAAATTTCATGATATTACCATTATTCTAGTTCTGATTAGTGTAAATCTTAAAATTAATTTGGTCAAATAGAATGGATTTAGAAAAGCATTTACTATTACCGCATGCGACATGCGCCACCGTCCCGTGAGGTTATGCCTCTTTTATCAATTTGTATAGCCCCAATAGTTAGACCTCTCTACCCTTTCCCACTTACAGCTCTTTCTCACTCACTCACACACGTATATGGGGATTTATTTTATGGAAATAATTAGTTAATTATTCATATTTATTGGCGAACCCAATTCGAATTACATATGATATGCTCTTGTTATGAATGGGCCTTTTGATATTGCTGATATGACAAATTAATTGGCAAACTAGCTCTGACCATTTCTTGAAATGGAGTTTTCTGGAATTCACAGAGTATCGGGTCTCGGGTCGGGTCGATTTCCAATTTCACATTGATCAGTTTTGGATTGAGTTCATTATTTTTGCGATCCAGTCAACTTAATTTTTCGGGCGTTTGACTTTTTTATTTTTCCTTCGAATTGGCTATAATGTGTGGGCGAGTCAATTCGGTACAGGGTGAACTTTTGCCTGCTTTGCTTGAAAATGTCAAGTCCGAACGACAAAAGGGTGGATAAAAAGCATAGTTAGATATTAATTATATTTCTTGCTAATCTTAGCCGTTGAATAATGCGACACGTACTTTTTATGAAGACAATCTACTTTAAATAAGTAAACTTC